AGAGGTCAATTGGTGGATCTGGACGAGATAGCCGGACTGGGGGTGGCAGATCGTATGAAAGCGATAGCACGGGAACATAATCAAGACAGCCTGGAGAAGAGAGAAGGGAACAGCAAGATAGCCAGACTCAAGGTGGCAATTCATATGAAAGCGATAGTGTGGGAACATAATCAAGACAGCCTGCAGAAGAGAGAAGGGAACAACAAGCTCCTGCGGTTTGCACTCCCGGTATTCTCATGTTTGTCCCCCTGCATCTTCTCGTGCCCAACTACAGTACGACCGATCCCTCAATTGCACTCTTGATGTTCTCATGTTTGTCCCCCTGCACCTTCCCTGTCCGCCCACAGTGTGACTGACCCGTGACATCCGTGAATTCCCTCACACAACCCTTGTGAGATCAATCTGTGACTCCCAACCTTCCTAGTACCCTCTTACATCTGCATCGTCCAATTTTGACAAGAACGGGAAGATGACCAAAGAATTATCCTCCCCCAATTACCTCAAAACAAAAAAGAAAAAATAAAAGGAGTACGGACTCGGCTGCCTCGGCTGAGTGACCCAAAAGGGCACAATTACAGTTATGGCCGGAAGAAACAACACCACTCCCTCGCCTAATCAACCTAATCAACAGCCGACTATAGCCAAACATGAGTTAACCGGGGCAGCAAGTGACAACACTGCCCTTGGGCCCGACCGACCACCACCTGTGCCCAAACAAAGCGAGACAGGGACAGGACCCCTGGCACGTGACCGGCTCAATTCTGAACAGCGTAAAACACATGAGGCAAAAGAAGCCTCGCCTCGAGGTGATGATGGTCATGGGACAAAGGCTCAAAATGTGGAATCATGGAGAGACAAAGTGGCACCTGCCCAGGGGGGGTGGCCTACACTGGCCCCATCTTCATCATCAGAGGGCACACACAAACCGCCACCCCAATTGCCTTGAGCACTTTCGGCCCCCGGAAGGGCTGACCCAGGCAGATCATCCACACTTGCCTCCATGGCTCCGCTCAAAAGCCACCTTATACAACCGCTATATATTGAACCGGAAAGAAAATTCCAAGTGAAACCAAGTTATATATACCCATACTCGATCTTCTCACCCCGGGCCCGGGCAACACGTGATGCGATTTATCCACATAAAGTGGTGCAATTCCACTTTCAACCCGTGCACTGGTCGATTCCGGCAACGAGAAAGTCAAATGGATAACAGAGAAGTTGGGGCTGATTAAACCAGATAGGCAACTGGTACATGATCATTTCCTCATTGAGGTGGACAACCCCGACAGTGTCACTGTCGTTGCCCTCTACCCAGCGGACAAACAGTTGCTCCGGAGGAACATACAACTATTGTTTACAGGCATGCATGTGCAACTCTTAGCGTGGTCCCCTGCTGACCCACAATCCTCTGATGAAATAAGAGAATATCTCATGAGTTCGAGTTTTTGGGTGGAATTCCGGTTTGCGCCCTTGTGCGTACAAGGAGCGATTCTCGCAGATTTAGAAGACATAGCCCATGTCAAGGGATATATCACAGACTTGCCCCAATTTCTTGGGAAAAGGGATGACTCACTGTTAGTCGATGTGGAATGGGACCCGGAATATCCCTTTCCCCTGAACGACGAATGGAGGTACTYGCTCRGGGGTAAGGAATTCTCAGTCCCAATCAGCCACTCCCAAGACCCATRGTGCTATGCTTGMAAGCTGCGAGGTCACATGTGCACTKACARTRACTGCCCAAAAAATGCCAGCAAATTGAAAATCAAAGGTCTTGTGACTCCTCACTCCATCGATGAAGAGAGGTGGTACCTAGAGGAGCAGGAACTCCAAGGTTGGGTGTTTAGAGCATACGTTGACGGCTRCCCTGGAAATTGGATATGGCAAGGGAAGGGCAGAMCATGAGCGACGCCATMAGGAGYTGAAYTTATAATTCHTGAAAACCACAAACAAAAMGGCAAACAGGAGGACTTCYCGAGCCBAGATAACACCYGAACCCCCCTCCCGAGGGASCGCGTAGCAAGGGGTGAGACACAGAGACTGAAAAGKRAAGGTGGCAGAAATAGACAAATCAGCCACAACACTGTAAACGTCTCTGCGGGGGTGTCCTTAAAACCTACCTMTRTGCCTCCTCAACAAATCTATAAGCCCAAACCAACARAGAATGCCGACGTGGAACCACAACAAACGGAACAGACACAGGGACCAKGACTTRATAGYCGGAGGAGGCARGAAGACGGYAAGCAAAAGACACAGAGTKATCCTRGAGTGGAGGGGCAACGGGGGCAAGAGGGGGAAGATAACCAGATTCAAGCACARAAACCGCAAGCKACARMTGAAAACAGTAAGGCAGTAGGTGCACTCGAATATGGACGGCCCAAGGACGAAYTTCAAGGASGACGACAACACCTTAGACGACAGCAYCTGACCCATGATATCCSCCTCCAGCAGGGCCAACTGGCAAGAAAGAAAATTGTTGAGSGTCCAAGTGGCCCTGCCTCAGCCTCCCTTCCCCCAYCGCGGAAACATGAAYAAGAACCGGGCAAAGAAGAAYATAAACAYCATACCACTTTCAAGAACGATGCCCCWAYGGTGGCAATGGCGTCTGGGCAAAATCGACCCTTGTCTGGGCAGCAGCACTCRCCTGAAGAAATGGTAATYACGCCTGAGGGTAAAAAAAACATCCATATGAAACAACTRCCTCCTCCTAAGTTCACACAACGACAATCTKAGAACACCTTGACTCTCTCACGAGATAGGGAGAAGGAACCCTGCTCCCTAACTCAYGACTGTGAGTCTAACCTTTCTGATCAACTGCGAAGAAAGGATGCCAGCAAAGCTCTTGTGGAAGGARCTGTTAWAAGTTGTAARCCCCGGGAAGTGTGGCTTAAAGCCAACTCCGTGCYAAACAAGATCAAAGATGCTGCCTTCTCACAACAGTGGGAACCACCAMTGGCCAAACACCAAGACCACAAACCTCAGAATGACCCCCCAAAARGGGAAGGAGGTGTACATCCTACTCGGTGCTTGCAAGAGSCACAAGGAGAGAAGCAATGTYARTCCCCAGAGCCTACGCACTCCCCCACGCCCACCTGCATGACTATGGTGGTTTCTCAGGTGACGGGGGAAGTTAAGTTCCTTCCCCCTGACCTGCCCASACGGCCACAGCACGATCCGGCRCGGGTTCGGTTGCTGGAGCTCGAACATGACGAGGTAGTTCGTACTGCTCAACAACAACAGCATCCTCATCAGCAACTGCTGTCACAACAGCACCTGACGCAGCAACAGCGTACGCAAGCTCAAAATGARCATTGTCAGCTGGAGCAGCMGCTRCTSCTACAACATTTGCACAAAGAGAGRACAGACCTAGGACTGGTGGAGCAATGTYTGCCGCCACCTCAACAGCAACACAAACAGGGGGCAGAGCAAGAGCTTGTSGAGCAAAACCTGMTTYAGCAACAGCTGATGCAACGACAGCTGACACCACAACAACTACCACAAAAATAGCTGGCAGTGCTACTAACTGAACATAGCCAGCTGGAGCATCAACCGATGCAGCTGATGCAACAACAGTTGCCACCACAAAAGCTACCACCACAACAATAGCTGCTAATAAGTGTACATAGCCAGCTGGAGCATCAATGGATGCTACAACTGCACAAACAGGTGGCGAAACAAGGGCAAGCGGACAGACACATGGAGCAGCAACAGCTGGCATAGCAACAGGAGGTGCAGCAGCAGCTGACACAACATCAGCTGACACAAGACGTACACAACCAGCTGGAGCAACAACCGTTGCTACGACTGCACAATCAGGTGATGGAGCAAGGGTTGGCGGTCCAACACCTGGAACAGCAAAAGTTGGCACAGCAACTGACGATGCAGCAACAGATGCCACCGTAACAGCGGCAGGTGGCACAACAACAACAACAACAACAACAACAATAGTACAAACATGTGGTAGAGCAAGGGCTGGCAGAGGAACTCCTGCAGCAGCAACAGATAGCACAACAACAGTTGTCGCAACAGTTGTCTGAAGTTGCACATGGTCAGCTCGAGCAACAACCGACACTACAACAGCACAAATAGGTAGCCGAGCAAGGGCRGGCAGAGCAACAMCTGCAGCAACAACTGYTGGCACAGCAACAGATGGTTCATCATCAGCTACCACACCAACAGCTGCAGATGGCAGAGCACGAACGACAAYTGGCACAACAATTKTYTGCACAACAACCCCAACAGCAGCACGCASTGCCTCATCTATACCACGGCCAAGCCCAAGCAGTACAACAGCAACAACAACAGATTCAACAGCAGCTATGACACCAACACCAACAACAAGAAAAGCAGGTCATAGCAACACAACAACAACAACACCAACTGTCACAACAACAACAAAGTTTGTACTGTGAGGCACAACAACACGCACAACGACGTAGAGAGTGTGAATCCCAACTTCACCTCCTCTTGCAAACACAGTTGGCGCAGTACCACAACCACCAACATCAACAGAGAGTATTGTACCAACAACAAATTTTGCAGCATCTGCACCTTCAGTGACGACAACAACTGTGCTGTCAGCAGGAAGTTATCATGCATTGCCAACAGCAACAACAGCACCTGCAGATATACTGGCAGCAGGAGATGGAAAGGCAAAAACAACAGCAACACCATACAATGAACTGCCCCAGCCTTGCTGCAGCCGTTCTCTCGCCCGACACCGATAATACACAGATATCACAGGACATGGACACCTCGACCGCGGACCAACCCTCACAGCTATTGCAGCATTGGGATCCGGGCCTCGAGGGACAGGATATMCAAATGACCCAGGCGCCGACGCMAMCACTGCAARTCARCCACACTCGTTGTCTTTTCAKKAGGGGGTTATCCYGGTCATCGTGCTCATGAACTTGAAATCCACAGCTCWGAAAACAACAACAACACATAAGTGGTTCACCSACCAGGAGCTCATGGACTTACCTATCGACCGATTCARAACTAATTTTGCTTGGRCTTTGACGAAAGTACTTTGGTTCATGCAGATCTTTATGGAGGGCAATCTGTTGGACGAACACAATCAATGGGATGACCCRCCATTTGTCCTCCCGATTAAAGTCSTGGACTGAAGCGGTTGAGGCACTTCAGCATTCATTACACACAATAATTRCATACAWTCTTCGCGATYAAATGGACTCAAACGGTCATATACAGAACCCCATCAACACTGATGTGAACTGCCTACGAGAGGCCTCCCTACAGCCGCCCTGCCCTCCTGAAAGGATGTATCATAACACAGACCCGCTCAACGCCCGCTCCCAGCCAACTGACAACCCGAGGGACAATCACTCCCCAACCTCCCACCCCCTCACATAGCATCAATCGACCCCTCACATCCAGCCTAACAATCACCATCCCACACCCTACTTGTTCACACAGTAACAACCAGCACGCCCGATGATTCCCCCCCCCTCCCCCCCGTTTTCCCACCGATCAGGAGAAAACCTCAATGGGCAATAAAATTGGCTCAGGCGGATATAGATATACGCTCTCTAAATGTTAACGGGCTTATACAGGCAACGACATCCAAAAAAGAGGCCATATGGGACATGATAAGGTGCCCAGAGACGAGGACATGGCCAGATGCAATATGTATCCAAGAAACACATTTGCATGATACATCAACACACAATTCAAAAGCAAAAGCTATCTGGTCATATACGTCGTACTCTGCATCTGCTAAAGATAGAGTGTCGGCAGTAGTTGCAATCTGAATCCCGCCTTCCTCTAAACTCAGAYCGTTGGCTGTTGAGTATGACCAACAACAAGGTAGATGGATATGCTTAAAACTGCRGTACGAGGGTGAAGAGTTTTATCTGGTCAGCGTGTGTGCCGCAMATGACCCCACATCTAGGGTGGACCTTTGACTCTCCCYCCACGAACAYCTGYCAGACGATGCCCGTGTTATACTTGCACRTGACTTCARCAYCACGCTTGACCYTGCAATGGATYGAASATCMACATCTACACGCCATGACTCAGCRTCCTCATCGCSACTTGCTCCTGGTCCGGATATTCTTGTGCTAMGACAATTTATGATAGAAAAACAACTTGAAGATGCATATAGACTGCTGCACTCCACCYAAAAAGCCTACACCTGCCTATCATCGAGGGGCGAGCAGGGCTTGGCCAACTYACGGATTGACCTTACGCTTGTATCAAAAGAAATGATGGGTCTTGTTAGAACGGTGGAAATAGCATCAATCAGCCCGTGTAAGTTTTTTGATAATAGGACGATAACACTGGGACAGTCATTTCATAATCATATTTAGCGAGGACCGGGGTTTTACRAATTCAATGCCTCTTTGCTTCCCCTCCTTAGATTCAAAATCCTGGTTACCGACTTCTGGAAATATTGGCAATCCTAGAAACCCACCTCGAGGGAAAGAGTGAAATGGTTTAATGAGGGAGTGGCGCAATTACGGGAAAGAGCGAAAAAATTYTCTATCCAACATGCGAGAGACCGTAAGGCCTGCCTTGAAAGTTTTATGCGAGACTTAGAAGAATGGGATGAAGAGCTTATGAAGGATYCGCTGCGCCGCCCAACCTATGATAAAATGCAAGAGGCTCGATATCACCTCCAGTCGTATATCGAGTAGCAGGCACAGGCATGGAGGGTGCATGCCAAAATTAAAAAACAACACACAGATGGAACAATGGCAAAGGTTTTTTTTAACAAGGCCAGGGCTAGGACAAGAGCTGCTACTGTTCCCAAGCTTAATCACCCTCTGGACAACAATGCCTTGTCTGCAACCAACGCTTATTCAGTTGTGGACTACGTGGTTAAATATTATAACAATCTATTTACATCTGAGACAACCACTAAACATCCTAATGAGGTCCATCAAACGAGAGACACGCTACTATAGGCTATCCAATCCTCTATAACAGAGCAACAAAGGGCCGCCTTCGACGAACCCATAACCTCACATGACGTCTGGGTTGCCCTACAGGATATGCGGGATGAGAAAACGCATAGGATAGACTCTTTTTCGAAAAAATTCTGGGTGTTTTTTTTTAACCTCCTCAAAGACGATCTCATGAGTACATACAAGCGATTCAAAAGGAAGGATCCTTTGGAGGAATGATTGGCCAAGGGGTTACTACCCTCCTCTACAAGAAAGGGGACAAAAAGAACATSAGAAACTATAGATCCATCACTCTTCTTTCARTTCCCTACAAACTTGTGGCTAAAGTTCTCACTAACAGACTGTTACCTTTCATGAATATGTTGATTCACCTGGACCAGATAGGATTCATGCCCAATCGAAACATCCAGGATAATATCATGTTGGTCAATGAGACCATCAAATATGCCCGCCAACGGAGGGTCCAAGCTGCGATCCTCTTCATAGACTTCGAAAAGGCATATGACCATGTTGATTAGGACTTCCTTG